GTCGTTGTGATCGTTACTGCTGGTGTTGAACCAGCGGTTATCGCTTCACTTACGGTCGGGATAACCGTTGTTCCCACATTCGTTTGTGGGATTTCGTTATTGTTTGGCGGATTCGCCATCTCTTCTCTTCTTCTGGCAGTATTGGTATTGTTAGTGTATATTCTACCACTTCTCAATAACATACAACACTCCTCGAAAAAGATGATATTTTATGTAAAAAGATTAAACTTCAAAATCAACACAAAGTCCCACCAGGTGTGCCAATTTGTTTACCGTGGTTATTGGTAAACAACCGTTGATCTTCCAAATGGTTACTTATTTGGTTACTCGCAGGATCGATCAGATTGATCCTAAGACATGGTTGATTTTGGGGTTTTGATTAAGTTTGATAATGGTTAAATGACAAGGAAATAAAGGAGCTTTATGTAAATTGCATGAAGAAGAGAACTTGATAAAATAAAGGAAGGCTTGAAATAAAGGCTTCGACAGGAAAAGTAAAGGGGAAAGCAATTAAAGTTTCTGGAAAATAAATGACTTTGATTAATAAAAGTGGTGTTTCACACATACATTCTCAACAATTTTTTCTCACACGCTGGGTACTCGAATCTATATGAGTGACTTGTATATAATTGTGAACACACGCGAAAAACTGCGTGAACTACTAATATTTATACTAAAACATCCCAAGTAACCGTCGGGCAGTTACACTACTTCGAGATGACTCCACTTGGCACGTTCTCAGCGTTCGACGCTCCAGATCTTTGCACGTTGCACTTGGTAACCGCTGGGAACCATTTTCTCTCCAAACGCTTGAATTTCAAACCATCCCACTCTGAGCAATCGAACACCTTCGTCGAGAGGCATCTTCGACGAGCCACACCTTCGACGTTGAAGGCCACCGAATTCTCCCTTGGAAGAAACTCTCTAAGTACATTGCCATCTTCTGATGGGCATTTCGACAGACCCAGCTGGTCGAAAACATCCTTCAGTTTTGATTACTGATATTAATAAAAACAAGGGTGTCGAATTTAGGAGCCAACAACCACCACATTTTTTAGGAAGATTATAGCCATCACACCCTTGATTAAATATTGTGTCAATTATTTAAGTATATACTATTGTATTGTTCCCGTGGAATGTAACTGGTGTTTTTTTTATGAGGAACTCGTTTTTTCTGCCACTAGAAGGGCTGTAAATAAATCAGAGTACTTAATAAATCCCTTCATTTTATATTTTTGTTGCAACAATACTTGTGATGCATGGAAGATTGAAAATGTTTTTTCAGACTTTTCCTCTTTGTTTTTGACTTTGTCACAAAATTCTAATTGTGTTATAATTTGGTGCATAATTTGGTGCATGGAAAAGTTATATGCAATAATATTTTTATAATATTGGAACCTTAATTTGTTCCACTGATCCATCAATAAGGGCATTAAGATTTCTTCTAATGTCTAAATCTTGTCTTAAGTTTGTCCCATAATATCTTGAGATCTTTTGCATTTGAATATTATGTTTGTAATCCATTATCAAGGTGGTGCTTGATTATCTGATTTATTATCGACTTTTTTATTTCCATTTTCCATAGGTCAACTGTCGATTTTCCCGAATTGTCTCCTTCAAAGATTTTGTCAAGTCCCACACATGCAAGATATTCAATTAAGTTATTGTTCTAAATTATGTAGTTGTCATCAGTTATGTCTAAAATTTTAAATTGATAATTAATGTAGGACATGATTATATCCAAAATATAGACGAACATAATTAACATTTAATGTATAAACTAAAAAAATCAATTTATTCAATAACAACGATTACAAAAACCACGAGTATTTTTATTCAAAACATCTATCCATAAACTAAGCTAAGACTATTAATGGTAAAATGATAAATAGCATTAATGCTACATAATCTTTACCTACTTCTTCATGCTTGATAATACCGATAAGAAGCAAAATAATGACAAGTGGCGTGATAAATACAATAAAACATTTAGCCCTTTTAAAAACGTGTATAAATATTTTGAGAATTATGTGAAAATTAAAAATGAAGTTGAGAAAAATAATAATTTTCCTATTTATTACCGTTGAGAAAAAAGAGGAAAATATTAAATGTATTAAATATCATATTACCAAATTCTCAACGTGCTAAATATCATCTAGTTGTTGGGATGCACAAATATTAGAAATGGTAACATGATAACATATATGGTGAATGAACATATATCATAATATCACATTAGTAATTTAAATGATATCGAATGTCAATACTCAATTATACATTTTTTGTGAAGCAATATTATAGATGGAGGTCTTAGTACACCATTAAGTATAAAAGTTAGTATTTATAGATGGAGTTTAAAAAATCTATTCCATATAAAAGTTAGTATCTATAGATGCAGTTTTAGACTTCCGGTAAATATAAAAGTTAATATCTATATATGAGATTTTAAATCTCAATTAAGTATAAAAGTTAACATCTATAGATGGGGTTTTAGATTCCATTAAACATAAAAGTTAGTATAGATGAGGTTTTAGATATCCATTAAGTAAAAAGTTTGTGTGTCTTTATATATATATATATATATATATATATATATATATATATATATATATATATATATATATATATATATATATATATATATATATATATATATATATATATATATATATATATATATATATATATATATATATATATATATATATATATATATATATATATATATATATATATATATATATATATATATATATATATATATATATATAGTTTTAAACCTCCATTAAGTATTAATGTTACTATATGTAGATGAGGTTTTAAATCTCTACACAAAATTTATATAATATTATCTTTGCCTCTAATTATAAGATTCTTTTGAGTTTTTTTCTTATCCATTTTTATAAGATCCTCTTCAATTTTCAAAGTATATTAATAACTTTTTTTCAAACTTACTTCTAATTATATTACATATTTTCTGCAATTTGTAATAAATACACTTATATAAACATTAATTATTTCTCTCTCCTAAAGATAAACTTGTAAAATTATATAATTTATTAATAAATTTAATACTCTAACTAACTTTTTTAATTAGTTTGATTTATCTTTTGGAATTTTATATTTATATGTGCAATTTTTTAAATGTGATGCTTATATTTTTTAATAAAAATATAACAAATATATAATTTTTTTTTACACGTATACAAATTATTCATATTTTCACTCTTTAAATAATATTTAAATATATTTATATATTTTTTTATTGTAAAATAGTAAAAATCACGTTTAAAAGTTTAAAAAATTATACGTTAAATATCTACAAATAAAAAGGCTAAATATTCTGAGTGCATAATACTTTTGTAATTTTCTTGAAAAAAAATTAACACCCAGTGAAAATCGGATTTCATTTCAACATCACTCCGTTCACTACTTTTTCACTCTTCCATTATGTGTTAGGTTTCATTTTAGAGTGAAGATCAAATTGATTGTAGATGTGTACGCTAATTTAGATAGAATCAATTTTAAAGAATTATTTCATTCAAAATCAATTTTTTTCACTACATAACCAAACACTATTATCGTGTACCATGGCCGCATTGTCTTTGTCTTTCATTAAAAAATAAAATTACAAAAATTAATAAAAAATAAACTATTCCTGACAAAAATGCTTCATGGATCCAACACATTCCAAATTTACAAGCCTAAATTATGCACAGTAATTAAATACATGCAAGCAGCCCCTAGCAGCAGATTTGTGATCTAAAGCCAATATAATGCTGCTTTGCTCATGTCAACCATGAAGAAGCAAACACCATCTGCACAAAGTTGCAAAAATAAAACTGTTAGCTGAAAGAACTGATAGAAACCAATTCAATGGAGGAATCAGAATAATGCTAAACTAGTCATGAGCTTACAGAAACCTTTGTGAATAAAAACTCAAGTTATAACACTGAAGAGACAATTTGTTTTTGAACAGAGGGTAGGAGAAACATTTAACTGAGATTTTTCCGCACACGTTTTCAGTACCTGTAGGTAGGACTGTTCCGAACTTCAAATATCTACAGTTCGGTGAGAACTGAAGCAAATTGTCAACCCCTCAATGTTATTGCATGAGCCCGGAATGAAAGAGTAACCAATGAATTGAACTGAAACTTCACAGGTGAGAGAAATATCTGAAACAGGAGATGATTCATATCCCCAATTTTTATTACCACATGGTGATGCTGTTTAAGTGGATTTAAGGAAATTCACTTTTCCATGGAATTTCCTTTTTAATTGCAATCTGCAATTATTGTGTGATGGTTACTTGGCACTAGTCACTTAAGGGCGCAAGTGTTGCTTGCTTGGTACTTAGTTTCAATTCAATGTTTGCTGTGTAATAATGAATGGAAAATGGAGTGAGTTTAGAACAAGATTTGCAAATCTTATGCGTAACTAGCCTTCTTTCTTCTAGCAGTGAATCTAAACAATGGATGAAAAAGTGGTGGATCAAAGGCTAATAGAGTCAGATTTGCATGTAGTGTTTGGATTTGAACAAATGAAAATTTTAGAATCAGTAAAAAAAACACATTGGCTTGGCATTGAAACCATAGTGCACCCAACTGGTTTGATTTGGTTTGGTTCATCAGGTGAAGCGATTGCAGTTCGGTTCAGTTTTCTCAAACTGTTTTTGAGGCTCAGTTCGATTCCTTTCTGTATTCTCCTATTTACCAAACCTTCGAACAAGTTAATTTGTTGAATAGGGCATTATGGAAAGATGGAATGAAACTAGTGGCATTGTCAAACCTAAGAGGAGTTTGTTTCTGAGATATTTAAATTAAATTTTAATTCTGCGAGAACCTTAGCATAGGAGTATTATTTCCCACCCTTGAGAAATCAGCTTTATGAAAGATTAGGAAAAGTAACGACTAGGAAAAAGCACTCAAAATGGGATAAAAGGAAGTTATAAACACCACAGTTATTTATAGGCATTAATTAATGATGGGTGGTAAGGAAGCTTACCAAATATTAAGTCTTCTGCATTTTAGTGCCTTCTGTGCTGCTTTTGCAAATACTCGAGAAGCCTCTGCTTCGGCTTCTGCAGCCTCTGCCTCTCGTGCTGCTTTCTCAGCCTCAGCAATGGCAGCTTCCGCCTCTGCAACTGCTTTTGCAGCTGCTGCTGCCACCTCTTGAGCTGTCACACCTTTCATTTTTAAGAGCTCGACATCAATTTGGGATTTTGAAAGGATGTTGGCATCAGCCATTTCTGCTTTTGGAGAATCTTTTGGCCTCCCTTCCAGGACTAACAACGAAGAGCATCTTCTTTTCTCAGATATTTTTGAAGAATTTGTTGCGATCCTGTATTTCTGATTTACCTGTCATTAGGAATGTCAACTCAGGATCAATTAACCAAATATAATACTAATTACATGCCCAATATTTATCTTACGATAATATAGGTTTATTAAAAGGAAAATTGTGTCAACGAATATAATTTCCTTTGCAGGAAAATATATTGCTTCATGGGAACAACGTTCCAAGAAGCCAAGCTTCATTAACAAAGACTATATTTACCTTAATTAATTTACCACTTGCGACCATATGCTTCAGTTTTGATGAAAGTATCTTTACAAGGTTTGGCGGAGACCGGTATTGATCCTATTGAGGTAAAAAAATCAGAATTGCTATCGACATAATGATACAGAGAAGCATAAAAAGAAAATGACATTTGCTGGTGTATTTAAAAAGACAAACAATAGATAATATATCATGATCCTTTCTTAACCATAGGAATGAAAAAAATTAAGGGTGTGTTCTTGCCCCAGGAGGGAAACTCGGGGAATCTGTTTAGATTTGACAAAAATAACCATCAAACAATAAAAAACTAAGATATTTTGGCACCATAAGAAAGGAAATCTATGGGTTACATATCAGAGATAGTTGAAACTGCTGATAATTGATAAACAGCGTATAAATCAATGGACCTGGAACAGAAACAGTTTAAACTTTGAATATTTTTTTTGTTCTAAACTTGATCACAAAGTAGGCTGACTCGTACAAATACTCAACCCATCAATCGATATAAAATTAATATATAAAAAGAAAAAGTTATTTGATGAAAGATGAATAAATTAAAATAATTTGCCGCATAATTCTAAATGTGCGTGAGAAATTAACTTGAAAAGGAAGAGGCCTGCAAAAGCATAAATTACATATATTTTCTAGTGTTTAAGTTTACATGCACCAACATTTGGATTACGAAGGATTTGGAATTAAATGGTCTGTCATCAGACATTATTTATAATAGGATATCGTTGTGTTTTATGGTGCACGTAACTGATCACACGAGGAAAAAGTTTTGATTTATATATTAGTTTGATCTTTAGATTCTAAATTCCAGTGAGGTGATTAAAGTAGAAATACCTCTATAAAAGCAGCAATTGCGGAAATATCAGAACCCTTTGGCTCCTTCAACTTGACAATAGCCTCTAATATAAGGTTGTCCAATCTGCCATTATCAAAAAAATGTTATGCTGCTGTCATTGAAAAACATTGCCACCAAAAGGGCTAACAACAGAAGATAACTATATATTAAATATTTGTAGTTGTAATTGGAACCTATAAAATCAATCATATGGATGTATTTGAATCATTTTAGGGTATATTTACCATGCTTGGAAAAGATTCAACATGAAATTAAATAGCTAATGAAGATTCAGAAAACAATAAACCTCATGGTAAACAATATTACAGCAAAAATTGCTTGCAACCTGCTTAAAAAATTAATTCATTTAAAAGTTTGGTATAGTAGCATGCTGCTTTAAGCAACCTTAGAGCAGATAACTATTGAAGGAAGTAATATCTATGATTATACGATGTTTGTTCATTTGCTATTCAAGAACAAGATTATACCAACCAACAATCACAGACCATTTAGTTTCAGTAAAGAGTGAGATATATTTAGCTTGGAGAAATATAATAACCTTGGTATTTGTTCTTTGGAAGTAGATGTTCCACCAGAAACTGTTAGAGGCTTAGCTGCAGCAACTTCTTGATTATACGGAACAATGGCATTCGAGGTTGCGTGGTTGAAGGGAGGTGGTAGGTTCTTTTTAAGCGCAAGTTTTGCCTTCTGCCTAGATCCCCATATTGCCGTCACATTTATGTTCCTCCATTTATCCTGTTCACAGCTTAAACCATATACAGTTATATATAGAAACAAACTGGTATAACAGTTGATCATTTAACACGTGCAGTAGCAGTGAGATCTCGAATAAATCTTAATTTATAGCACTTCCTAAAACCTGCCAGAATCTTGATAAGACTTACCTTGAGATCTACATTTGAACGCATTCGCAAAACGGTGCTGAAATCCGGGTCTGTAAGTATGGTTCGCCATTTTCCAGCCCCGTATTTGACTACTCCCGCTTTCAAAGCTGCCTCTTCTTCTGCAGTCCACTTCTGCTTAGGAGCACCCATTAAAAGAAGTCCACAACCTTCTTATAACAGTATTGTTTTTTTAATCTAGAGAAAAGCTTCAAAGCGAAACGCAGCCATGGCGAAAATCCAAAATCGAACTTACTATTGACCTACAAACATCGTAATGAAAATAATAATATTAACAAAATCCTTCAATAATTATAAACATTACGTAAATAAACTAAAATAGAAAGAGAAAAAAAATGTTGATGATGATTACCAAAAACTGACCTGAATAGCCAAATTAACTTCAATTTCATAAGAGATCAATTCAGGAATCTTCAGCAACAACAATTCATATTATTTATCTGGAGAAATATGTAATAACATTGTGAGAAATCATCAAATCAGGGAAAAAATTATGCAATGTAATTAGATCAGGCTTTGTTACAAAACCGAATCTTCAGTATATAAACAGAAATTGATTTTTGATTTGCAATTAAAAATAAAAGGAAATTGATTCTAGATTTTATAGAATCAACCACAATTCATCAGATTAACTAAGGTATGGAATTATCTAAGGTTTATCGCATTGCGTAACTATTTTTTGTGATGGTTTCAAATTTGCAAATTTAAAGTTTTTTTTAGGAAATAAGGGGGAAAAATTGAGGCACTGACCTGAGAATAGAATAGAGTTGAACTTGGGAGAAAAAGGAGGAAAAAAGAAGAAGAAAGAAGGAATTGAATGGAAGAAGGTGTAGAGTGGATCGGAGAATGAAAGGGTGTGGTGTGGGTGAGAATTGATACGATAAATTTCTTCACGAACCGGCGAATAACCAGATGTGTCTAAAGATGTCTTGTTTCCTTTTTTATTTTTTTTGGTGTTGGTCTTCATTTTTGTTAAAATTGCTAAAGCATCCCTCCCCACTAATTTTAAAATTGATTTTTAATTTCTTATTTGTAAGAAGTTTTACATTGCACCTCATGAACCATGAAATTTAAGTTATTTCTTCATGCTGCGGTTTGGGTGGTTTTAAAGTAAAAAATTATTCGAATTATAAGAGGAAAAAAATATGCAGTTTGATTTGGTTTGGTTGGCTTTTAAAAATAAATCTGAATTAAACTAAATCAAACTAATACGGTTTAAATTGATTCGGTTGATTCGATTTTTTACAAAAAAAATTATTAAGACATATATACACATATAGAGGAAAATATAAGTTTAATTTTTCATACATTACCATAAAAAATTTATAATTGTCAAAATAAGTTTATATTTTGATACATAAATGCGTATTATAATTTTATCTAAATCTAAAGAATGATATAGACAAGATTGCATTCTTAAATAAATATTATACAAAGAGCATTAGTCGTACCTTGCCAGAATGGATCGCCATAGCCTTACGTCGAGCAGAAGTTGGAAGTGAGATGTGGGAGAGGTACCTACAAGATACTTTGATGCCAAAGTGAGATTCTGAATAATGCAAGCAAGTGAGAGTGGGTAAGAATGTTTCAATACACGACCCTCTCAAGTGATAGGATATTTATAGCCTCCAGCGTTGGGTCAATCTCTAATGTTAGGCCACGATGAGGCCCAATAAAGAAGATTGTCAGGGCTTACGTGTGTATGGAGGCCAGCACGTGGCCTTCCCCCTGGTTGGCTGCCCCGAGAAAGCAAGAGTTGGACCCAATATTCTCGAAGGGCGTGAAGGTGGTGACGATAAGGGAACATGGGCCACGCTCCCTAACAGATACATGGGGAGTTGCCCAATGATGCCCAACTTGGGTTTTTTGCTTTTGGACCTTGTACAAAGGTATTGGTGTTGTCTGAAGATTTTGATAATGTTATTAGAAGCCAAATGAATTAAACGTTTTGATCGAAATGAGGTAAAGCGTCATGTTTCGAAGTAGCAGAAGCAGTGTTTCGAATAAGTATGTCAAAGCTTGGAGCTTCGAGTGGCAATTATGGGAACATATCTAAAGAAGTCTCGAAATAACAACAAGGCTGTGTCTGGGAAGAGCGTTCGAAACGGAGAAGTACCAAAGCATTTGAAATTCAAATGGAAGCGGGACTTTCGAAGTTTGAAAGTTATGTGCTGGAGCATTTGGGGACACGTGGAAAGACGAAAGAGGCATTGTCCTGCATGTTCTAAACGTGGCATAATCCTATAGCAAGACCGTTATGGTCGAATTAGTATAAATAGAAGTCTTAGTATTAGGATTTAGTGTGTCATATCTATTATATAAAATACTCAGTAACATTCAAACTACCACATGGCAAGGGAAACGAATGCAAGAGAAATGTATGTATGATAGCACCATGTATTTCTGATTTAATGAAAACCTTTTACCATTTCCAGCACTTTCCTTTATCCTTTTGTCAAATAACATTTACAAGTTTTCTCATTTACAGTCTTTTCACTTCGAAATCTCTTCTTCAAAGTTTTACATTTTAATGTTTTCTTCATATTTCAAGCACTTTATATCTCAGAAAACTGTCATATTTTCCACACCTTTACCTTCAAGTCTTATCCTTCGAACGCATATTTTTACTTAAAGTCATTTAAAGATTTCTTGCATTAAACGCTTTCTTCATATTTCAAACCTTTTACGTTCCAGAAATCCTTTATATTAACTGTTTTGTAAGTCGAAACCATTTACTTCACTTTTATGCAATTTTACATGTCTTTACAATTAGCATTTATTCATGTAACTTAGTTTTCACACACACATTTTGATTACATCTTTAGACTTTTAGAGAGAGAAATAGAAATAAGCCAAACACATATACAATATCAACCATGAATATCTGTTCGATCGTGAGAGTAACCTTAATATCCAAGGAGTCCTAGGATCAATCTAGTCGATCCTGTGAGTTACCAGAGGAATTGAATAACAGTCATAAAGATTATTCGATAGTTTGGAAGACTAGCGGTTGTTTACCAGAAATCACTGGAAACAAATTGGCACACCCGGTGGGACCAATAATTGGATATTAGAAATAAGGATTGTTGAGACATAACCATTACAAAAACGTTGGAACCTAAGAAGTTTGCTGTCTTATGAACCTGAGAAGTGGTAAGATAACCAACAGCAACCAACCTTTATCCAGAAGAAAATGTTTGGACAAAATGTATAATTCAGACAATCAACAAGGGGACCAAAATGGCCCACATACAACAGGCACTAATGCGTCCACTTCGATCGGAACATCTAATGTAATCCCTTCGAATGCACAGTCTGTTGCATCTTCGACCAGTAACATAGCCACCAATGGAGTAAGTGGCATATCAACTAATAGTTCGATCTTAGGAAATACTGGAACCATTGGCTACCCTGGGGGATTCGTTCCACCATCAGGGACACAATCCCATTTCGCCACTCCATTAACTAGACCACCCGGTTTCGATGGGAATAGAACCAGAAATTCCTCTTATGGAATGCCAACATCTTTTATGGCAGGTTTACATAATTCCACATCAAATTCATCTCCACAACTAGGGTCTGGGTCTGGGGCGAATCAGTTTATGACAAATAACCAAGGGTCGGTGGGTTATAGCACAATGCATATCTTAACCACAGACAACCAGTTGGCTTTTAGGCAATTGATGGATGACAGTAACCATAATATGATAGGGGTGTTAGCACAAACCATGCAGGAGATATTTGCCCCAATAGTGCAAAATGTGACTGTGACAAACAGAGAAAACGCTGACAATATGAGTCGAATAGCAGATTTCTTTGCTCCCCCAGAAAGGCGTAGGCAAAATCAGGCGGGATTTCGAGCAAACATGCCTGTTATAGAACAAATTGCTAACGACCCAATTTATAGACCACCCAGAGAAGAAGTTAACTTAGGGGCCAGGGCACCAAGGTTAGAAGCCCCAATAATCCCAGGCCCACAAAGGGAAATTATGGAACCAGGGGCAAGGGTCGAAAGGCTAGAAGCCCCAGAGTTTCGAGAAGAACAACCTAGGGGAGTTGTTTTGGTTGGTCGAAATCAAGATGCCGATGCTGTCGTTCATAGAATTCGAAACGATAACATCTTGGCAGAAAACAACCTAACCACCATGATAGAGAGAGTCATGGCCCATAATGGCCTCAACACAGGAATGAGAAGGCCAAATTACGCTTCTCCTATATTGGATTGCATAATGCATACTGATTTACCAAGGGGATATAAAGTCCCTAAATTTACAAAGTTCGCTGGGGATACCAATGAGTCAACAGTCGAACACATAGCGAGATATCTAACCGAAGCGGGAGATATAGCCAATAATGAAGATCTCAGGATCAAATACTTCCCAAGTTCCTTGACAAAAAACGCCTTCACATGGTTTACCACTTTGCCTCCTGGGTCCATTGACACTTGGGCTCTCTTAGAGAGATTATTCCATGAACAATTTTACATGGGACAGTCGAAAATAAGTTTGAAGGAATTGGCCAGTGTTAAGAGAAAGTTCATCGTACCCATAGATGATTATTTGAATAGATTTAGGCTTTTGAAATCCAGATGTTACACAGTAGTGCCTGAACATGAGTTAGTCGAAATGGCCGCTGGTGGCTTGGATTATTCTATTCGAAAGAAACTAGACACTCAGTATTTGAGGGATATGGCTCAGTTAGCCGATAGGGTTCGACAGGTCGAAAGACTAAAGGCCGAAAAAGCCAGAGTCTTTAAGAATAGCAAGAAAGAAAGGATTTCCTATGTTGGGACTGAGGAAGCAGAAGAATATCCTGAATTCGAATTCGAAGAGGTCGAAATCGACCTCGCTGAATTAAAACAGGCCCCGCCTTATTCCTGCAAATTGTTAGTTCCCACAAAAGGGAAAGACATTGTTGAAAATGAAAAAAGTGACAAATTTCCAAAGAAGGTTTATACCTTCGATGTCACTAAATGTGACGAGATTTTTGACTTACTTGTCAAAGATGGCCAACTAATTGTGCCATCAAATGTCAAAATACCTCCTTTGGATCAGAGAAATGAGAGAGGATTTTGCAAATATCATAGTTTCCTAGGCCACAAAACCTCACAATGTTTTCTTTTCAGGGACCTGATTCAAAACGCGATCAAAGATGGCAGACTAAAGTTTGCTGATAAGGTGAAGATGAAAGTGGACGAAGATCCCTTGGACGTCGCAGACACCAACTACTCCGAGCCTGCATGCATTGGAGAGGTCAACATGGTGGAAACTGATCAAAGCGACGCCCTAACAGGAGAGAAGGGTACTGGAGTTGAAAACTGGGTGATGGTCGAAGTCAGCGAGGAGGTCACTGAAGACATCCAGAATACGCCAGAGACTCCGATTGCCGCACCTGTAGCTGTTGCAAGAGAAACCCAGGCTACTGAAGGCCAGGGAAATCAAAACCAAGAATTAACACAAGTCACTGAAGGCTTGAGGATGGAATTGGAGAAAGTCCAAATCACGCAGCCAATTTCCCTTCAGAAGGAAATATGGGACACTCTAGGGGAACCCAGTGGAAAATTTGACTATTTGGTCAAATATTCTGCCCCAGAGAGTTCGAAGGTTCAGATTGAGGATATAAAGCCCACAGGATGGGGTGATGATGAAGCTAAAGGGGGAGATGTTAAAATAAATATGGTGGATATGGAAAGACCTCGCTCTGAGATGGAGGAAGTGGAAAAATACTTAGAAAAAGAAAAGTATAGAATGGGGGATAATCACACTGGAGATGCTAGTCTCAAGGATTATCTCATGACATGCCACAAAGGAGATTCAGGCATGATATTGTGCCCTAGGTGCAGCATCCTCTGCAATCAAAGAATCGCTGCGAATTTCGAAAGGGTACAGAGGACTCGAACTGGCAACAATTGGCGCCAGGATAACCAGCTTTTTAGGTGTTATCCCAAGGCTGGAGAAAGTTTGTTGG